TTTTTTTTTTGACACGACATGAAAGTAATTCCTTTTTTGAATCTCCCATTTTACTTTTGTAAGTTTGCTGTTCAGTATCAAACAAATTTTTTGCTCATTGTACGGCTGGAGGTCAAAATCAGAAATTTGGTCATCATGAATTTTTCCACCATTGAATAATAATAACAAAATTGCGTGAAAAATCAGTGTGGGTATGCCATTTTAGCTTTACCATCGAATTATACCCACACCCAAACACAGCTGTGGTGGGAAATTCGATGCTTGGATGTATATTTCCTGCTAGTGCCACCGCATGTTCGATATGTGTGCGTTACCATTCTCATAATAATCATTCATGATTTCGAACACCTCACTTTTGGCAACTATTTCATTTCCTGGATACCCGAATTAGTTTCAAAGTAAGCTACCACTAACCGGCATAATTTTGATAATTTTGCGCAAATTCTCAATTCGCTGCCAGTGCGGTGAATAATGATTATCACGATTGATTTCGCCAATTTTCACTCCATCTCGGAAATGCGATGTCCACAGCTTTCGGCCATAAAGATGAGCGTGAAGTTGCGAAGCAAAAACATTAATTCCATCAGCTGGCAACTAAAAAATGAGTTCTACATGCTACATGTGTTGAAATCTGTGATTGAGAGGTTCTGACTAACTAATCTCCTGCTTATTAACTTTTACTCATCGGACCAATTCTTCCTCCACTGAAACAATATTTTCAATACATATTTCCAGTTTTTGGCTGCACTTGAAATGGCTTCCGATATTATAGATCAGCCGTGTCTCAAGCTCAAAGAACACTTTGTTAGCAGATCCCGAACACCCCTTCCTCCCCCCTCCCTCCCCTTCCTTTGCCTAAACACCCGCGAAAAGCCGACAAGAATTAATAATTGGCCAATGCACGGGCTGCCCGTGCGAAGATGCGCTTTTTGCATAGCTCCTCGCAGATTTTTGTCGCTAACGGCACTGATTTTTCCGGCAGATGCTTCCAGCAAAAATAATTTCAGATTGGCCACCAGAACTGCCAGGAAACATTCCTTCAAAATTCCAGCCTCCTAGCTTCCCACTTTCCCGAGTTAGCAACATACCCGGGAGAAACTTTCACGGGCCCGTACGTAGGTACCACGCTTACCCGCGGGCAGGGCTTGAACTCGCTAATCCCACTT